AAGTAATTCATAGATAAAAGGGCATCTTTAGAGATAAATGAGAAATTTATATGTAAAATCAAGGTCTGATGTATGGAAAATACTAAGAAGCAATGCTATTGGCATTAGCTACAAGTGCTGCAAAAGTAGGAACAGTCTGTAAACTGAAAATCTAATGACACTTTAAACCTCAGCCAAGAAAATCAATGGGAAGAGAAAAGAAAATATAGCAGGAAAACTGGAAAATAAAAATTTATTTGAAGTTTCTGGTAAATAAAGAATATTTGATGCCATGAGTATAGATAAGAATGGCAATATTCTTAACATATGTTCCACAAAACAATTATCAGAAAAACACTATAGAATACTGTTAGAAAAAGTGCAATTGCTTGCTAGTGTCTCAATGTAATAAAAAAGAAAACTAGCTTAATAAAATGACTCAAATATGATAAAGATAGTGTGAATAAAATAAAACTGCCGCAATAGGTCAATGTGTAACTTTGTTCTTCAACAAACATTAATAAGAGCTTAACCATGGTGAGCCCATAAAATTGAATTGAATTCACTAACTGAAGAACAATTAAGCATCCTGAAAGTTGTATTTTTTAATATGTATTCCAAAGTGCTTTTATGAATGAAAGGAGCGTTTTGATGTTAATATTAAAATTCCTATTTAGAAAAATCTCTATGACACTTCACTTTACATACATTATAATATTCATTATAGTGTTAAGAATTTCCCATTAAATATTATGTCATGTAGAAGGTAAGCAAAATTACAGTTGTGAATAATATCTCAACATTTTGCCAGAAATATTATTTATAGAGTATTTTAGAAATACAAGAAAAAAGTTAATATTATATAAACCTCATTATATTTATTATAAACTCCATAGAGTATATTGCATAAGATAATTATTACTCATTTATTTGCATGAGTGGAGAAACGTGAAAAATGTTTGGAGGTAATTACCATGTAGGATTACTGTTTATTTGCATTTCATTTTTGCACATTAGTATATTTTACTAATGGACAATATTTTTATGATCATAAACATAATCATAATATGCTAAAGGCTAATCCTAAATTTCTTATAAAAAGGTGAGGACATTTTACAAAGGGAAACAGTAAATAATTAGGTGTGACTTTTGCTTTCTTGGGTTTATTGTTTTCATGAGACAGTGAAGTATGAAATCTCTGGAATATTCATATTTAATCAACATTTAATAACAGAATACCCTACTGCCACTTCTGTATCTCAGATCATCTTGAAAAAATAGCAAACAATAAAAAATTCAGCAATAATAGAGATAAGATAGTAATAAATTACAATACTGCCTACTTACATGAGTATTAAACACAAAATATTTTTAGAACTTAGATTTGCTAAAGGAGATGCAAGAAAATATTATTTGCTGTCATAAAATAAGTTAACATACAAAATGACATATTCTCAATAACACAAAAAAATTTCAAATGTTCTGCTTAATTTTATTGACAGTATAAAGCATGTATGTTTGCCAGAGAGATTAGTATGTCACTTATAATGCAGACCCAATTAATTTGTGAATCAGTAAATATAATTTTCAGAAAGTCTTAGTGTCTTTTATTTTTGAATATCTTATATAAAATATAGATAACTATATTTGCTTTGCAGAATTGTTGACTGGGATTTAGTGGATAATACAAATAATGAGATACACATTTGATAAAACTTCATAAAGCACAGGCACCAATAAAACAATATTATATTTTGCTACTTTTTTTTTGCTTTTTGGGTCACACCCGGTGATTCACAGGGGTTACTCCTGGCTCTGCACTCAGGAATTACTCCTGGCAGTGCTCAGGGGACCGTATAGGATGCTGGGAATTGCACACGGCTGAGCTGGGTACAAAAATGTTATTAAGTATTTTTATAGTATTCATTATTCTTAAAAAATACATTATTAGTTTGGTTTTTGTGCAGTAAAGGAATTACTATTAATGGATATATAAGACTTTGGATTTGGGTTTCTTTCTCATTCCAAACAGACCTTAAAGTAAAATTTTTAGAGTAGGCAGATGAGAGATATGTAAAGGAAATATGTTTCTATATTATATAAAGCAACAGTTCAATTGTGAAATAGAATGTCTGTAGTCTGTTGAATAAATTGAATGTCGGTTAGATCACAAACTTGAAGTTTGTGAAAGGACTTTTCATCTAAAAAGAAACTGGAAGGTATTAGATGGGGAACCTCATATATATGCTTTGATAAAAGCGGAACAGAAAAACTGATTTTCCTTAAATAACCACTACATAGAAGACAGACTATCTCCTGACCAATGAACATCTTCCAAGAACCATTTTTTTCATCTCTAAGCCAATGAATTTACAGTTTGGCCTCTGGTTGGATGTTCCTGTTTGCATACCTTGATCCATTCCACCCATCCCATCAGTGACCATGCCTATACGTTTCCTGAATTAAAATTTCTCTACTGTTCTCCCAATAGACTGCATTTTGGATAATTCAAACTTGACTTAATTTATCTCTATAAAAATGGGCCTCATTAATCCTTAAATCAAGTGGTCCTGCTAACCTTTTAAATTGACTCTCAATAACATTTTGAAAATAAATAGCCATGGAAAAGCTACATGGACATGGAAAAATAACATTACATTTTTTGCTAAGTGCCATATTGATTGATGTGTTGTTAGAAACAGAACATTATATTTTTAATGTTTGATTAAAATGATGCCCCTCTTTGAGTTAATTTTAGAGAAGCAGCAGACTATGAAAGTACTGTTGCTCAAAAGACCGGCTTGAATAGTTGTGTAACTTTCAGCACACTCTGCTTTAATCCTTGCTATCTTTAATCTTCACTTCTATAGGAAGAGATAAAGGTAATATCTGTGAGTAGCATCGTCCTCCAATTGTTCATCAATTTGCTCGAGTGGGCACCAGTAACATCTCCATTGTGTGACTTGTTGCTTCTGTTTTTGGTATATTGAATACACCATGGGAGCTTGCCAGGCTCTGCCATGAGGGAGGGATACTCTCAGTAGCTTGCTGGGCTTTCTGAGAGAGGTGGAGGTATTGAACCCGGGTCAGCTGCGTGCAAGGCAAACGCCTTACCCCATCATTTATTTGCATTTTCTAAAAGCTGTGCTATTAGAAAATGCAATTATTTGTCTCAATGCTACATAATAAGTATGCTGATGATTTTTGGATAGGAGTACAGCTAGATTTTATTTACGGGCCCTGCTTGTAGGAGCTCATGGGCTACTCTTGGCTCTATGCTTAAGGATTACTCAAGGAACCATATGTAGTGATGAGGATTGAACATAGGATGGCTTGTGTGCTAGGCAAGCCCCTAAACCTTGTAGCATTTCTTCATCACCAAATTTAATTAATTTATTTATTGTTCATTTAAGGACATTTAAAGATAGTCATTCCTAATACTGTGATTTGAAGGACTGCGCCTATTATAAAATTTTTGAGACAGCTCTGCCTTGAGTTCTCAATTAAAGCATGTTAATTTTCCTAGTTTCTTTTATAAAATATCACTTACAGGCCTGAGAAATGGTAAGGCACTTGCCTTGCACATGGTTTACCTGGTTTTCAAAACCTGGTTTTACCTAGTCCCACATATGGTGCTGTGAGTATCACCAGGAGTGATCCCTGAGCACAGAACCAAGAGTAAGACTCAAACAAAACCAAGTGTGATGCAAAATCCAAACAAATAAGCAAATAAAATATAACTTTTATAACTTCTTCAAAAGAGATTTATCAGTATCAGGAGGGAGAAGTAAATGAAGGAATGGAAGTAAAAAATTATGACATCAACACAAATGTAAAGAAAGATAATTTGGAACTGAATCTCAACTGGGGTTAACATTGCTTCACCTAAATGTCATGGTATTGGATAGATAGATTTTCCTTAGGAACTTCAAAATAGAGATGATGAAATGTGTTATTTTCAACACACATCATATGTATATTTGCTTAACCAGCAGAGCTTATGCTATAGTTTAGTAGCTCTAAATTACTTTTTTGATGGTTTTTGTTAATGATCTTGTTGACTAATAATACCCTCCACCGGCCAGGATGGGGAAGCAGCTCCTGGCCACCAAACGCATACTCCGAGCACCCCCACAATTTTGAACACATAATAAACTGTTTGCCATACAAAAGAAAGCTAAAGAAGATTTATATTATAACATTTAAGTTTATGCATACTAAAATACACAAAACAGAGGAGAATTTCTAGAGAATTGCATTTTTTTCACATTGTTTGATAGCCTCCAAGCAAATACAAACATTTATTTAAATATTTTCCTGGTACCATACATTAAAATTGTTAAAAAAAAATCAATCCCATTCTAAAATGTCATAACATTTGTGTAAAATCTACCATATCTATTAACCATGAAGCATCTGACCATAATATAATCCATAACTCCTGGTAGTTGTTTCATGTTAGTTCATCAGCGTCCCAGCTACAGCAGAAATCCCTTTCTCACCTTTCCATGTTTTTCCCAATAACCTGCCATTTATTCCCAAAATTTTTCCAGGTATTTTAAACTCTGCATGTAGTATGATCTTATTTTATTGATTAAAACATCTACTTATACAAAGATTAATATTTTCCTAAATGAATTGCAACCTTACCAAGCAATTAAGGCTTCCAACACCCACCAAAAATACCCATCAAAACTATTATTTTATGCCATATATAAAAACACATACACTTCCAAATAATGATATTGAAAGCAAATATCAACCATTTCAAAATGAGGCAAATATCCTGGTAGATTATCAACAAAATTCTAACAAAGTTAAGTATATACATCAAAAGAAATTTCCATTTTTATCCTACAAAAATTTTGTGAGAAATTATTTATTTAAATGTTCTGTGCTGATGAAGCTTAAATTTAGTGTTTTTCTCCCTACTTTTAAAAATAGATTAGGTCATCTTTTATCTTCACATCTGCAGGTATACAAATAGCTTAAGTTGATGATGTAAAATTGAGAATATGGTTTTAGAAAAGCTTACCATTGTCATTTTTCAGCATCCCATTGCTGAGTTGCTTTAATCGTTTTTGATGTGATTTGCCATTGTAGTGGATTTGTGCTTGAGCAGCCGAATTCAACTGAATGTTACATACATTGCACAAAGTAAAATTGGTATGCTTCTTTTCTTTTTCAGGATTTTCTTCAAAGTCGTCAGGTAAAAATTCAGCCTCACTCTCTACATCTTGGACACACGTGAAATCTAGGGTTGCAAAAAATATTAAAAACAAGCTAATCAATATTTCTGGATTTCATTACATTATTAATTTTGGTGCCAATAAGAATTGTTGTGCACATCGAAGATTCAAAACTTCAACTTTCCAGTCTTGTATTTGGCAATACTTAGAGGTACCATATGGTGCTGGATATTGAACATAGGACTCTCATATACAAAGTATATTCTCTAGTTCCTTGAGACATCTCCTCTGTCCTCAGAAATGAATCTACTGAAAATGTGTTCATCTCATTTACCTCTCTCTCTTTCCCTCCCTCCCTCCGTCCCTGTCCATCCCTTCCTTCCTTCCTTCCTTCCTTCCTTCCTTCCTTCCTTCCTTCCTTCCTTCCTTCCTTCCTTCCTTCCTTCCTAACTTCCTTCCTTCCTTCCTTCCTTCCTTCCTTCCTTCCTTCCTTCCTTCCTTCCTTCCTCCCTCCCTCCCTCCCTCCCTCCCTTCCTTCCTTTCTTCCTTCCTCTTTCCGTCTTCTTTTCTTTCTTCTTTCTTTAAATAAGAGCAAGATACTTTTAAGATCAAATGGAACTTAGGGGAACTGGAAGAACCAGAGAGTCTGCAATATGCTGAAGCTCACACAGACATCTATGAATCTTGATCTTCTCAAGAGCTTCACCAGCAAGCCTAAGGTGTGTTAGTAGCACCCTATCATGATACATACTTGCTCCTGCTCTCTTATGCACCATTTATTATACCAACATCAAAAGAAAAATTTAAAATTTTATAAAATGGCTAATTATAGTTAAATATAATCATAAATAGCACTGTGGTAGCACTGTCCTCCGATTTGTTCATCGATTTGCCCGAGCAGGCCCAGTAACATCTCCATTGTGAGACTTGTTACTGTGTTTGGCATATCAAATACATCACAGGTAGCTTGCCAGGCATTGCCATGCAGGCGAGATACTCTTGGTAGCTTGCCAGAATCTTCAAGAGGGGCAGAGGAATCAAACCCAGTTTGGCTGGGCCAGTCATGCACAAGGCAAACACCCTACCGCTGTGCTATCAATCCAGCCCAATCATAAGTATCACGGTCACGGTCACGGTCCTCCAGTTGTTCATCAATTTGCTCGGGCGGCCCAGTAATGTCTCCATTGGAGACTTTGTTGTTACTGTGTTTGGCATATTGAATACATCACGGGTAACTTGCCAGGCCCTGCCATGTGGGCGAAATACTCTCAGTAGCTTGCGAGGCTCTCCGAGAGGGGTGGAGGAATGGAACTGGGGTCGGCCATCTTGGCTGCATGCAAGGCAAACACCCTACCTCTCTGCTATCGCTCCAGCCCATCATAAGTATATTAGCATATTATTTTATGAATATAATTTATTTATTCCAAGTCTTATTGAATGCCTCAAAACTAATATATCTAGAGACAGTTCATATATATTTTATCTCTTTTTTTATATTTTCCCACACATAATCAGTGTCTCAGGGGTCTCTTCTGGCAGTGCCTAAATCCTAGGGTTCTAACTCAGGCTTACGACAAGGAATACATGAACTCATCCCATTAAATGATCTCTCCAGCCTGATGTATATATTTTAAAGTTTTGTATGTCTTTTTACCATTTAATAAAAAGGATATAAAATTTGTATTTATTAATTTGGTATTTAGCTGATAAAAGCAGACTGCGAAGATTTTATAACATGGGAGATTCTTTGAATGTGAGATGAATAAAACATAAAAACTTACATGATATCTTACAACTACGAAGAACACTCAAAATACTCAAATATAATAGCAGTAGTCAATTTTTTAAAATTTTTTTATTAGTGAAACACCATGAGGTACAGTTATAGACTTACAAATCTTTGTGCTTAGGTTTCAGTTATACAATGATCAAGCACCCATTCCTCCAACAGAGCCCATCCTCTACCACCACGGGTTCCAGCATCCCTCCCAAGCAGTAGTCAGTTTTTAATGGCAAGATTAATAATTTCCTTTCACTTCTCCATTCTCAAAAATGGATTCTGCAATGACCAGATATATAGTGAAAATAGAAAAGCAATGTATTTGAAGAAAACAAGGCAATGAAATAAATGTTTGTATCTTCCAGAATGAATCACCGTCCAAATAGGCCAAATGATATATATAGTCCCACTATATGAACCCTTGTGAACAATCATTCTTCCTAAATATATGCATGTTTTGGGAGGGAAACATTTGCTTTCTTGAATTACATTTCTACTTTGTAGGGAAAAAATGCTTGACAACAATTTACCAGGGGAAAATACTGAAAAAGAAAAATGTTTCCAAGGCTATGAGATTAATTTGTTTACACACGAGGGGCTCCCTGACCACAGGAGAAAGTGAAACCTAACTCACTAGAGTCAATAATTAATTTTGTGTTAGGAGAGGAAGAGCAAGGACAAGAACTCTTAAGGGAAATAGAAAGTAAGATATGCTAATTATGTGGACTGAACATTAGAGGAAAAAGAAAATATCAAATAAATTCCTGTGACTGGAATAAGACATCACAAAATAGTTATAGATTTTGCAAGACTGTCTTATCTCACGTGGAATTCTCTGAAGTACAAAGTAATATGTGCAAGTTATTTTGCTCCTATTTTTGGTTTTGTTTTGGGGGAATTTTTTTTTATCTTATTTCATTATTATTATTACTGGTTTGGGGCATACTCCTGGCTCTAACTTCAGGGATCACTCCTGGGAGGACTGAGGGACCTTATAGGGTGTCAGAAATTGAATCTGGGTCAGCTCTATGAAAGGGAGAGCTCTACCCACTTGGACAATCTCTCCAGCTCCTGATTTTCATTCCCACTGTGATAACGGCATGTTTGAATTCTGAAAGGGAAATTTGGCTTATTTACGTTCCACTGAGAAAAGGTCTATATATGGATTGTAGGTAGTGTTGAACCCTATAATATTTTGTCAACTTGCCCATGCACTTTTCATTTAACATCCATGCCCTGAATCAGCAAGGCATTATGAAATTCTCTTTTATTGTGTGTGTGTGTGGGGGGGGGCAGTTTTGGGCCACTCCAGGTGGTGCTCAGGGCTTACTCCTGACTTTGAGCTCATAGATCACTCCTAGTGGACTGGGGAGAATATATGGGGTATCTGGGATTAAACCAGGTTGACTGCTTCAAGACAAATGCCCTACCTGCTATCGCAAGTATTATTGCTTTGGCCCAACATTATAAAATTAATTGACTTAATAAAAAAAAAGGTTATCTACAATGTATCATGTAATAGGGTCAATGAATAGAATTATTCTAGAAACAGTGTTTGTAGGCAAATAGGTATTAATTTGTATATGTTTTAAATTTCCTAAATGTGGGGCTAATTAATCCTATAAATTCAGATAAATAATTAAAAAGTTACATATATGTAAGATTACCTATCCTTGGTAGGCTCTATTTAAAGATGTACCTGAACATATTTTAAGAAAAATCAAGTTGGAAACTATTTTCCGTGGGAAATAATATTGCTCCTAAATTTAGTGTATAGTCCTGACCAACCTGAGGTCATGTGAGAGAGAAATTGAAATACAACCCCTTATTCCAAAGCACTAATCATTGATAAAAGACTTCTTTAAAAGATACTATTTTTTAAATTCCATCTATCAGGGTACACTTTGTGAACCCTAGTATTAATGCAATGCAATCAATAATAAAAAAATTTAAAAAGGATGCATTCACTAATCAAAGGAAGTCAAGCAGGTATTAAACCTAGAGAAAAGTAAAGGACATACTATTGGGTCATAACCAAAGTAAGAATGCTAATGCTGATATGAAAAATGGAAAAGAAGTTAAAAATCTCCCATAATTTTTCTCAAATCTTGGATAAGGTCTTGGGATGGAGTAAAAACATAGTTTTAAATGAGAATGGAATATCAGTTAAATATGACATTTCACTAATAATATGTCAGTAGTTGTCTATTATTTGTGACTAACACATTAATTTGTCAGCATTAGAATAAACTGAGTGGAGTATTTGGGAATTCTAATAACTTGGCAACTGCTCTGCAAATCAAAACTATCCCAAGAAATGAAAGAACATTATTTCATTTTTTAAGTTGCAGAATATCCTTGACACAAAATAATGAAGAACATTCTCTAGATTTGTATGTTCTTGGAAAGAATGAAGTTCTTCTCATTCCTTTCTTATTCACCTCTGTAGCATGAAAAAATGGTATAACTGTGAGGTACCCTCACAGATTATTGTTTCATGTGAGGCTGATTATCTTGGTTCTGTATTTCAATAGTCTAAAATGGCACATTCTTATCTTCTTAGTTGCCTTAAATGAACATAGCATTTAAATTCTTCACTTCCCTGAACAGAAGTTTTATAATTCACCCACAATTCATAATTCTGTTACCTTTCTGGTGACTAAAGAGAGAAATACAATTCAGTGAGGAAAGTGGTGATATCCAACTGGGGCTGTGGTTTAACATTTTCTCTAATTCGCTGGAGCGATAGCACAGCGGTAGGGCGTTTGCCTTGCACGCGGCCAACGTGGCCGACCTGCGTTCGATTCCTCCACCCCTCTCGGAGAGCCCGGCAAGCTACCGAGAGTATCTCGCCCGCACTGCAGAGCCTAGCAAGCTCCCCGTGCCGTATTCGGTATGCCAAACACAGTAACAACAAAGTCTCCAATGGAGACGTTACTGGGCCCGCTCGAGCAAATCGACAAACAACAGGAGGGCCTTTACCTTTACCTTTATATATACTTCAATATACTGTAAAGATTAAATGATCTATTCTGGTAGTGATTTTTTCTCTCTGTTTAAGAGAAATTTTGAAAATTGTATAAATATATCACTATAAATAAATATATAAACAATACACCAGTAATGATAACATAAATCATCTGAATTATACTTATTTTAAGTATAGATGCATAATGTATAGAATAGTATTTTTGCAGTAATATACTGATAAAATTATTTTAATAATTTATCTAAATATGTTATATAAATTATAATAACTACATTTTACTCTTGAGGAAACTATAA